CTTCAAAATATAAATAAAATGTGAATGTCTGAAAAGCAGTTGAGTATTAGTTTATTTCTCTAAGATAATCTTATTCTATTTAGTGTTCTTCTGAAGAAGTAATTAAACTGTGTGAATAACAGATGCTATCCATCTCTCTCTGGTACTTCTATAGCCTGAGGTACTGTAGTACTGAAGAGTCCCAAGACCTTTAGCAGATGTTCCTTTACACGTCCCATGGGGTAGAGTAGTGCTGTTATCTCCTTTGTATGGATGGGGAACTGAGACTGTGACTTGCCAAAAGTTGCACTGGAAGTTAACAACAACAGTAATTGAACCTCACCCTCCCAAGTCCCACGCCAAATACCTTAACCATGATGCTGTCACTAAGGGGGGGAGGGAGAAAAGTACTGGCATATTATTGATAATTGGGCAATCTCAAAGATTTGTGTGCACAGAATAATTGCAGCTATTTTTCACCAAGCAAGACTTGTGTCAACATAGTATGACCATGCTTGTCAGCCATAATCCATCTTCCAACTGGCCTTTGTACTATGCATTTTCAATTCCGTTTCCAGCAGCAACACACACACACACACACACACACACACACACACTTGTTTTTGAGGCAAAAGAGGAATCTGCAAAATGTTAATGAAATAGGCCAAATATTTTTAAAAAACAAATAAAATTGGACTGTCAATCTGCAGATTTTTCTACAATTTCAGGTTGGATGGTTTTAACTGAGGAGTTGTCAAAATATGCACAGCTTGTCTAAGGGACGATTAGAAACATTCAACTAAAAACATCCAACAATTGAAAACTAGATGCTCTGTTCTCCTGCTGCAGAAATGATTAAATTATAAGTTAGGTCAGTCAGTTACTCTAACCCACCAAAATGAGACTCAGACTCCAAGGAGGGAGACCAGGTCTTTCATGAGGTCCAAGGCAGTGAACAGGAATGGGGCTGAAGTAAACTGTTTCCTAATTAATTTAAAATGCCCTCATCCAGGGAATTAACAACTGGCTAACTGGTAGGTGTCAAAGTGCAAATGTAAAATGGGACTTATAACAAAGTGCATGTGTTTCTACAGAGATGAGTTCTGGGCCCTGCACTATTTAATGCCTATCCATGCCCTAGAGGAAAGCATAAAATTGTCCCTGATAAAGTGTATGGATGCCAGGTTGAAAAAAAGAAGCAATCCAGATTGCTTAGTAAACTGGTAGCAAACAGTATGCTATCTAGCCTCTAGAGACAAAGCATAGGGGTCATGTTTATGCAGGGGAGCCGGGAGGGTGATCCTGGAAGGCAGGGATTCTGAATATGTTAGGATGGGGGGTTATGATGGATAACCATGCGACCAAGAGTTACCAGTGCAAGACTAAAGGGTTACTACAGTCCTGGGATGCATAAAAACGGAAATACCCCACAGAAGCAAAGAGATTATTACCTCTGTATTTGACACTGAATAATCATTACTTGAATACTGTGCACATATGGAGCCCACACTTCAAGAAGGGTGTTGAAAAACTAGAGAGGGTTCAGGGAAGAGTCACAGAAATCATTAAAGGACTGGAAATTATGTCATACAGCAAAAGACTGAAGGAGTTGCAGCTATTTAGACAAGGCTAAGTGATTTCATCACAGTGTGTAAGTACCTACATATGGAAAAAAATTTGTAAATAGTCTTCAATCTGCCAGGTAAAATGATAAAAATATATAACAACTAGACACTGAAACTAGACAAATTCAAACTACAATTATGGTGCATTTTTTACTTGTGTCAGACTTTTTTGCTTTATGGGGGGGGGGGGGGGGGGGTGTTTTTTTTTTATTTAACTGTTGGAACAACTTACCAAAACCTGTGATAGCTTCTACAACACTTGTAATTTGTAAATCTTCACTGCCTTTTTAATATGCTCAGCCTTACATCCCAGAATTGAGGTAACATCTGATTGTGGGATCACCATATGAGAGGCAGTCTCATGCATCCAGGGCTCATGCCAGTTAAAAGTTTTATAGGTTAAATTAAACACCAAAAATTGTCCCCAGAAACAAACTGGAAACCAGTACAAGTAATTACATGGCACCTGCAAAACTGCATATGAGTGTTCTAAAATGTTATCCCATCACTGGGTCAGGAATCCTTTGTCACAAAGGATGGAAAATGAGTCTGTACTCAGTGTATGCTCTTGTGTTCATGTATTGTCCAACTCTGCTCAGAGCAAACCTAGATAACAAGGTTGCAACCTCCAAACTAGGTACATACAAAGCAACATTTCTCAGCATCAGTAAGTAGACAGTGATCCAGTCAGACCAAACTGAACTGGAGTCACAGAAAACCCAGCAAACTCTTAATTGTTTGCAGTCATCCTGGCTTCACTTGGTTTTATTACACCCATTATATCAGTGGCATTTGAAGGAACAAGATAACACCCTTTCAAAATCCAGTGCAAAAGAGACTGGCCTGGTTTTTCACAGCTACCGCATCAGAAGAAAGATGCACAGAGCTGAACTGCCTTCACAAATGAGGGACCAGAATCCATATCACCTCACTAACTCTCGTCTAACTATTGAGCAAAAGTAGCAACTAAACAGAACTCTGCAGTACCCCACTTCAGACAACTTTCAAGCAAATGAATAGTTACCCAACACTACTTTCTCCATACACCCCAAAAATTCAACCTTTAAAAGGACATCTTTATCACTGATGGTTCCTAGTCAGACCACCACCACTATACTTAACAATCAAGACAGCTGAATGATGCAGAAGAACCAACTCTCACAATACATTCCCATTACCTTCTTTATAATTTCATATCGAAAAACATTACAGTTAGTCTAGTATTTAAAATACGTTGCCTTTATTCAGGAGAGAACTTCGGGAAAAAGTCCTAACCACTACCTTAAAAAGGCAAGCTAATTTCTGTCCTCCCAAGGAAAGAGGTTATAATCACCACCAATAACAGAGCCCAAAATATAATATTTTGTCCTCCTGGAGTGACATAGAATAGGGTTTGTTTCGATCTTTCTAGAACCAGACTAGTCTCCGAAGTTTGTGGAACAAATCATAAAAAACTGAATGAGCTCCGTAGAATAGTGCCCCACAGGAAGCAGTAAAGAATGTCCCTCGCTCGGACTCTCTACATCTAAACTGGACAAAACACTAGGGAACATACCACAAAGAATGATCTCACCACAGGAACAGGGATGGGTGAAGCAAAAATATAACCCTTCCACCTCTAATTTAGCATTCCTCCTGGTTAAGTGCTCAGTTCCACATAGTCACCTGATTTTGCCTTTTTTGACGGTTAGAGAACTATAAAAAACTAAGGACCAGATTTTTCAGCCAGGCCTCATGCCAACCCCATTTGTGGGCACAACTACTAGCAATTAACATCTAAATGCTGGTGCAAGCAGAATTGGAAATATTTGCACACAATTCATTTTGGGCACAAAATCATACCCACAAAAATAGAAGCCAGCACTGAAAATCTGGCTCCAAATCAAGCTTTTATAAGGGTCAAATTATCCTCTGCACAGACTAGACTCAGCAGCCACGCCAGCCACCACCTCCCCTCCTCATCCTCCTTCTGATTTGCTATTTCAAGTTCTCTACAAAATAAAATAAGTCACTTGTCTACAGTGCTGCTTAAAATTGTAGGAGCTTGTGTCAGCTCCAAGATGATAGGCTCAGAACAGGAAATAAAACCCTTTCCAAATAAAAGCCACTGTTTCTCCTTAGTCCATCTAACTCTCAGGAAGAGTAACAGGAAGATGAAGTTTGTCCTGGCACTTTCATGAAGCACATGAGCTTTTTTAGCCTTGTCCAGCAAGAACTTAATCTTCTAAGAATGGATTTCACACACAACCAGATTCAAATCATCATTTTTTTAAAGCTACAGAGCATATGAACTGGGAAAATGTCTTGTGGGCTGCATCAGCCTTGCAGCTGCTTCCAATTAAAACTTCTCCTTTACTCCCCCTGGGCTACTTTCCAGAACAAATACTTTAGTCAGAACTTAGCTTAACCCCACCCCCCCTCTTTTTTTTTTGCCTCTAACATGCAGCTCCAGTCTGCAGTTGCTGCCCACAGTGTCACAGTGCAGCCTCTCAGCAAGTTTTACAGTGGATGCTTCCCCTCAACAGACAAAATAGTTACTTAAATCAGAAGCACTCGGCACCGAATTCATGATGCTGACAATGACAATGCCTCAAACAGAACTATCAAGACACACACAGAGAGCTGTTGCTGCTACTAAAACAGTTGTGGTGCCAGACGGCTTTGAAGCCTCTCCTCAATTTATCCTTTTTATGCAGGGTTCTTGGAAAGAGGCGACCTTTCCATGGAAACGAGTGTTCTTCACCAGAAAGAGCTATGTTCATTTTTAGATACAATCACCAAGTCAGTCTACACCTTGACTGCTGTAGCTAGTCTTCCCAGATGTTTTGTTTTCATGGGAGTTTCCCATTTCAGGCTGAATGATCTCATCAGGGACAGCACGGAAGGCAGCATATGGTTCTAATCTAAAATACGAAGGGAGAAATCTCCTACTTGCCTTGCTCCCCTCCCAACATCCCCTTCACTTTCACTGGAACATTATCTAAAGAGGATGAAAAAGTAGGCCCAATGAAGAAGGGCCTCAAATATTGTGGGGCAGATTGTAACCAGAC